CCCCCCCCCCCCCCCTCCCCCTCCTACAAGAAGCGTAGCTATCCTACGACGACGGTCACGCCCCTTGCTGGTCTTCGTTGTCGTTCCAGGGGTCGGGGTGGATGTGTCAATGGTAGCGTGAGCTGTATACCCGCGTGGAAGCTTTCGTTCCTTGTGTGGACGTTGCCGCTCGCGGTTTGTCGAGTGTGTTTGGGGTCAGGCTCGCTCGTTGAGTCTCTCTCTCTGGCGGTTTTATGACCGTGCGTGTGCACGTTGTTGTTTGTTTGTAGTTGTTGTGGCTGTTGCTGTACTCGTCCAATTTATTCTGGGCGTCTTGCACGGCTGTTCGCCGACTGTAGTGTGTGTGACTCATCAGCAGGCAGGGTCACACAGGACGAAGTCAAAGTTTACACTGTACTACTTTTTTTTTCTCCAGGTTTATTCCTCCTGCGGCGCTTGTTGTATGTTTGTACACGAGAAAGGGTTCAGCTAACCACCGTACGTCTTTTTGTTGCTTATTCACTCACGAGGTATGTGCTGCTTTCACCTTTACGCACTAGGCTAGTCTAAAGCTACACTGCACGCGATTTTTTCACGGAGAGGTGCGAACCCGCCATCTAGACCAATCAAAGGGATGCGATGTTGTTACACAGCATGAGGCGACTTGCTACAGATGCATTTCCTGCGTTGATGGACGTCGTTTACTTTGAGCGGGAGAGCGGCCGTTCTCGAGTTTACCTGGGAGAAGGCCCCTGTGCTTCTTCTTGTCTGCTTGCCTGGCGGCCTGAAAAGTAACAAAATAGCGTTGTGCTACACTATCGATGGTATGGAAACAGCAGACAGAGTAGTGTCACCTGAACATTTTTTCTTCACGCTTTTGCCCCGCGCACATAAGACGTTGAAATATGTTGGACCCACATGCTAAACCCCGCGTAAGTTTGTTGGGTTATCACGGGGTAAATAATCCCCGTGGGGTTGTGGGATCACCACGCCTGCCTGTCTGTCTATAGACTAAGGGTGCATTTCGCCTTCCAGAGACACAACAGACAGAGAGACATGATTATTCGGAGGGCAAACAGGTGGGTTTCTTTCTATGCCTGCTGCGTTGTGCGCTAATGGATGTACACCGGCTGAGCTTCACTGAATATATTGTGCCCCATCACATGCAGTTGATTCCCCCCCTCTCGAGCGATTTCTGTCACCGTCCACACCGTGTTTCCATCTTCTCTAGAGTGTAATGGTACGCGAGCAATTCGTGCACTGCTGTAGCAATACCTCTTTCTTTCCTTCATCCGGCAACCTTACCCCGTATACTGTACGCCCCTCTGCCATTTGTTTATCTCCCTCTTGCTTAATTGTCTTGTGAAGTCGTACTACTGTACCAGTACCGTAGGTCCAGTACCGTAGGATAGCCCTGCACATCCATCACTTGCTCGGTCTCTCCATCTCCTGTCTCTGCTCAAGTCCCTCTTGGGGGCTCCGTAGCTTGGACTGCAGCATGGAAAGGACGAGGCAGGTACCCACATTTTGATTTTTTTTGTAACCGAAAACATCACGAGCACGCGCGTCGTCGAATACCCAAATTGCGGCCCTGGCTGTCCGCGTGTTTCCTGCGCGAAACAAACAACCCCTCCTTTGCTCCGTCGCTGAGCAAATCTTCTACTACCCCGCAAGAGTTTTGCGCTAAACAAGCTCGGATTCCTCGCATCTCGCTCCCTAAAGCCTGTTGACATACGGTGTACCGACGACTACATACGACGATGGCTTTCAGATGGACGCTGCTTCCGGCTACGCTCTTCGGCGTTCTTGTGTCCCTCAGCGTATTCTTGCCGTCGGCCGAGGCCGGGTGCTGTCCCAACGCGTGCTCGGGCCACGGGACCTGCACAGTAGACGACGCGTGCGTCTGCTACAGCAACTGGCAGGTGCGTGAACGGTCGCCTTTCTGTCGGCGGGCGCGTGTGTGCTTGGGGTCCTGTCGCAAGTGGCGATGCCGTGTATTGAGTGTCATGATGATGGTGCTTCTCTCTCAAATAGACTGTAACCGTTACTTGGACAATGAGGCACGGGGCTGCTGGGACAAGCACCATGTGGAGCCGGGAGGTGCACCCGTCTAGGCTAGGCCATCGGCCCGACAAACCACAAGATAGCGGTGTTTGGTCCTTTACTCTCCTTGCGTCTCGGCGTGTCGGGGCGAGGTGTTGTGTGCCGCTTGATACAGCGCCGAAAGTGTTCACGTTCCCCGTGGTGCCTCTGCCATTTACTCTTTTGTTCTGCTACTTTATCAGACATGCTAAGACCCACAGCGGCACAGCAGCAGGAACAGACGTGTGCTGAGTAGGGTGTGGCGGGACCTCGTGTGCTGCACGACCACGGCCTCAATTCGTCTTCTTGTTGTCGCTCACTCTGGTCGGTATTTTCCAAGCACACCAACAACAGGAGGTGTTTATGGCCGCCCCTTTTGTGGTGGTAGATCATCGGCGTCGGCATCGTCGTGTTATCGCCTCGCTTGTCAAGCGAGAAGACGTTTGCTTCCAACAACACGGGCGTCATCTGTTCTTCTCCTCTTGTCATTTCGCTGACCCACACCGACTCCTCTCCGTCACAATATACGTGAAAAAGTGCCCTCGAACCACCATTGCATCAATCCTTGCTGTGCCCTCTGGCATGAAAAAGCAAGCGTATTTCTCTTCACCGCGTGTACTATTTATTCATCCCTTAGAACGGCGAAGAATTTTTCGAGACCGGAGACTGCTCGGACCGCACTTGCCCGTATGAGATCGCCTGGAGTGACTTCCCAGACGACTCTGGGGCCCACCATACGTACGCCGAGTGCGCCAACAAGGGGACCTGCGACCGTACCACTGGGGAGGTGAGATGATACGACGAAGGCCAGCACAGGGGGTGGGTAGGTTTGTCGTTGCCCCGCGCGATTGTTTCGGACACTATATACTGTAAGGTAGCACTATATATTCCCGTCGTCGCCCATACCTTCCCTACGGAGGCCTCCCCAAGTAATCCTAATGCCGACTGCCTCGTACTCCGCGTGGCGGGCGATGAGCTACTGGCGTGATTTTCGTTTGGATGGCAACACCCACAAGGTTGCGGAGGCGCGCACCGCGGAGTACCCATTTTTCTGTGCGGTGCGCGCAGTTCCAACCCGTGGTCGCAGTTCTAATCCCTGCACCAGCTGTTATTCTCTCCCTACGATCATCTTTCAATGATCCATCACTCCATATAAGAAAGGGAAAAGCCTCTGGCTTTGATGCGACAAGAGTAATAACAGCACAGCACCAACGGAATTTTGTGCGCTGACGTGTGCATATAGTTTTGCTGGAAGCGAACTGTTGCTGCTCCCCAAGACTAGGCAGCGGTGAGAACATGGACGGATGTGCCTGTAGAAATAAACTACCCCGAAAGCTATCATTCAAAAGGCTTCCCAGCTTTAGCGGGCTGTTCTCTGTGTTTCCTTTCGTTGGGCAGATCTGCCCCCAGTTGGCCTAACTTGCAGACGAGGCTCCATGTGGGCGTGAACGTATTGCGAGTGTTTCAAGTGTATCGAAGAAGTACGTAGCCTTTGTCACCTGTGCCGCAGAGGTATTTACCGTACGCCCTCGCCCCTCCCGTACAACCTTACCCCCACACTTAGAGGCATTCCAGAACATACAGTAGCCTTTTTCATCCCCGACGATGCCACAAAAGAGATGCGGCGTCCAAGTCAGCAGATGCCTTGGGCGTGAAACATCTGCCCGGGTCGCCTATTCGCTATCATTCTCGACGTCTCGCGATGAAAGGGCCGGTCCAGACAGCATGTTTTCTTGCACGACAAGTAACAGCTGAGACAATGACAAGTTCTTGACAAACAGGGTAACGGGTCGAGACAAAGCACTCTCCTTGGTTTCCTGTTCCAAAACACTTGAGTCTGACACAGAATGCCGACATCTCTCCCATCCGGAGCTGCTGCGACAGGGCTAGTGTCGCCTGATCACGCGTTGGTGTGCCTTTTGTCAGCAGTTGCGTGCGTGCATTGCATTAACAGCAGAGTCAAGCCTCCCCCCCCCCGGTCCCAACACCCAAAGTTTTTTTTATCTATTCTGACGTGGTACGCCAAACATCGACGCCAGCAGCAGCACAAGAAACATGGGCAACAAAAACGTTGACAATAAAAAACATCGACAACAACAACAACAACAAAAACAACAACAACAACAACAACAACAACAAAAACCTCAACAATAACAACCCTGAACCCCCCTCCCCACCACCAACACCACCGACAGTGCGTATGCTTCGAGGGGTACGAAGGGAAGGGCTGCGCCCGCATGTCGTGCCCCAACGACTGCTCCGGCCACGGCCGGTGCATGTTCGCGGACGACCTCCCGTACGGCGTTAACCTGGGGTCCTTCTACCACGACCAGAACAACAACACGGACCACCTGGGCGAGCTCGGAGACACCAACGGCAATGACGCCGTGACGTTCGAGTACCACGGGTGGGACGAGGGCAAGACCCGCATGTGCCGCTGCGACCCCGGCTACGAGGGGGTAGACTGCTCGTACCGCTCCTGCCCCCAGGGGAATGACGTCATGGTGGAGAGGCTCAACCGCGTCGCCTCCGTCAAGTATCAGAAGCAGGTGTGTGCTTTCGTTTAATGTTGTTAGCATCGACCGTGCCAACCGGCTGACCAATGAAAGGATATCCGTGTGTGTGTGTTTTATTGATAGCATCGACCGCGCTAACCGACTGACCAATCAAAAGACGTCAGTCTCAGTGCGGATGAGAACTCAACATGCCGAGGCCCCGCGAGTAGGCATATTGGGTGGGGGGGCTGACGTGTGCGTGTGTGTGTTCGTCCTATCTACTCTGGTGCCAGTCTCTAGGCCTGTCGGCGTAAATATCTGACGTAGCAGGCGCGCGCGCGCGCGCGCGCGTGTGTGTGTGTGTGTTTTCTGCGTATTGTTGCACGGCCGCCGCGACAGGGTTCCAACAAGTCTGACGTTTATTTTTTGTTTAATTTTTCCCACGCTCGTTTCTGCGCTGCCAGGCAAGAAGAGAGAAGAAAGGCGGTTTCTGCCCCGCTCGTTGATGGTTTTCGTTTTTTTTTGTTTTGGGGGTCTTGACAATAGTAGGCCAGCATGTACTATCCGAGATCGGTTCCTAGTATTTTCAACATATATCTCTACCCGAGATCGTTTCATTCGACCGTGGCTGCATCTCGACCTGGTAGGCTTTCCGTGCATACATTTTCAAAAACACAACGTAGCTTCTGCATCTTGACCCCCCCCCCCCACCCTGGTCCAACCCAATCCGATCCGCAGGCCATCTGCCTGTACAGCTCGGGGACAGCCTTCTCGGGGACCGAGTTCTGGTCCTGGGACTACAACGCGAACAACCCGATTGTGCAAAGGTATAGCGCTCTCTCGCTCAACTTCACGGGGCAGACGTTCGCCCTCACCTTCACCTCGGCTAAGGAGGAGCGGTTCACGACCATCCCAATCAACCTCGACGGCGACGGCTACACGACCATGCCCTACGTGACGGCGGACTACATCAAGAGCGCCCTGGAGGGCCTTCCCAACGGCGTCATCGACTCGGTTCAGGTGGACGTGGCCTACAACGCGACCGGGTCGGTGATCGCCGGGGAGGTGATCGAGGAGTACCCCTGCGACGAGCTCATCGTGGTCACGTTCGACGGCGCACAGGTATGAAAACATGTGTGTGTGGAGGTCAGGATATGGAGATTCAGGGAGCACAGATACACGTACATAGAGAGCAGGGCAGAGGGCTTCATATGTGTGTGTGTTGTTTTTGCCTCATTGTTTCTTACATTATGAGATATACGATCACAGAAAGACTATCCCTCGGAGATATATCCAAGGGGGGATACGTTGAGTATAGAAAAAGGCCATCCTAGTCCACTTCGTCAGCCCTCACTGAGTAGTCAAACGGATGAGCCTTTATTTGGACCCCTCGCCAGGCGGTGTCAGAAAAATAACTTAGGGTGTTTCGAAACTGATCCAGTTGGGAGACAACGAGCCGAGAGAATATCTCTTGACTAAGTAGTCTCGAATTCATGTCCATCCACAGGAAGAGTCCGGGATGGATTGTTCATAGAAAATTCACGCATAGTTATTGTTTTTATGCAGCACTCTGTCGTCGTCGCATCGTGGTGCGCGTGCAAGGGAGGACGGTGTTTACAAAGGGGTGGGTCTTGGTCTAGACGCGGCCGCGTTGTATATGAGGCCACAAAACGTATTCATTTTGGTAGCTGTGATTTATAAATGACATGCCGAACGCGGATGTTTTCGTGTTTCGTCTTACCCGGGATTCGGTTGATACCTCTTGGGTTTTGCGTCGCTAGTTTTCCCATCTCCACATTTTTTTCATTAACGTGTACTATGTTCTTGTTAGAAACACCACCGACATCCGAACAACTTCTGTCACGAGCTTGACGTCGTGGTCACCTTCGATGGCACCACCCGGTGTCTAAGGCCAACCTCGGTGGAGTAAGCCACGTACAACACCAAGCCTTTCCGCCGCTGCTCCGAGGCATTTTCCGCTGAGGCTTCACCGTGTACGCCAGCATTCCTTCCGACTGTCATAGACTCCGCTCGTCACGCTTCAACGATTGCTTGTTGAGACAGACGACCATTCTCTCTTCTCCACTTCTGAGTCCCTCAATCCACACCCCGTGTGATGGCCCCAACCCAAACCCGTGTCTGGACTGAAGGGTAGCAGCTAACGTAGCTAACCCCCGCCCCCCCCCCACCCGAAATTTCAGGTCCAGGGAAACCAGCACCTGTTGGAGGTCGAGTGGAGGCCCTGCGGTGACGGTTGCACCCCCAAGCTCGACGGCCTCCCGCTGTCCACCATCGACACCCAGTTCGACAACCTACCCTACACCATCGGGGCGCACCGGTCGTACGTGCAGCAGATCCAGTCGGCGGACTACGAGTCCTACGTCTGCGGTGGGCGCGGGAAGTGCGACTACACCACGGGGGAGTGCGCGTGCTTCACGGGGTACTACGGCCTCCACTGCGAGACGCAGACCGCGCTCATCTGATCCTTGCGCTTGTCGGCGTCAATAGTGCTCATCTGATCCTTGCGATTGTCGGCGTCATGAGCTCTCCGGGGGGATTTTTGAAGTGGAACTAGTCCGTCCACAGTGTTTCGTTTCTTCTAGGGGCGAGGACAGAACATCTGTAGGCTTACCCCGTGAGAAAACTCTTTCCGATGACGCAACACAGCGATTGACAGGGGATGCTGGGCCTGGTTCAGTCTGAGATAACGGCAGCTTGTCGCAACACGTGCAGCCAGCCATGGATGGTACCCTCCGGTCTTACAATAGTCTAGTGTATTGATCTCGGCGAACAGTCATCGAGGCTAATTGGGTCGGCCGTCGTCGTCCGCGTTCTGGTCATCCACGGAGGGGTTCTTTTCTTTGTTGTTAATATTCCGGAAATAGTAAGCTTTAGACTATGCGTGGATGATCAAAAAGGCGTTCACATGCCAACCGCCCGCGTGCGTGGCCGTCATTCTTTTCTCTCTTTCAATCCTTGTGCTTGCTTTCGTCTCCTCCTCCGCTTGAACTATTTTTTTCCCTCCTGCGTTTTGTCGTGGGGGCTCTCGGATTGTCTCAAGAAGTTGGTTCGACATTTTTTGTAAGAGGGATTCGAGCATTGGCCTGTCTAGATTTGTATGTACCGTACAAGACTGCGGAGTGAAGGTGATTCAGAAGGGCAATGGCTATGTACCCTAAGAAAATGCTCAAAATGCGCTCCGGCGCGGTGCATGTCATCCAATCCGCGAAAGGAATTTAGCCTTGCGGTGGCGGCTGGCTCTTTATTCTCTTGTTGGACCTGGTTACGACGCTTGTGTAGACATCGACCATCGTAACTGGATGCGATGCCGGTGTGCTTGGTGAGAGGACAGTAGAAGCCTTAGGCTCGAATTTCGTGATGGCGGACGACTATTGTTTTTTCTATTTTAGAGGCTGTTAGCGCATGCTATGTGCTCCGGGGACGTTGGCACAAAACACACACATCCAACACCCTTCGTGTAGCACGCGCTGGAGGGGAGGTGAGGGGGTGCAGATGGTACGAGACGACGGGGAGGGGGGGGGGGGGGGGGGGGG